TTTGAGGTTGATGGTTCAATCCTCTCTTTGGACACTTTTTATCTTTTACATTTAAAACATACCGGGGGAAATGTCAAAATACTTAGGGCAATGTCAATTGCCCTAAGTATTTTGTTGGTTAGGTTAGGTTAGGTAGGTTCGGGGTTGGGCTAGGTTCAGGGTTAGGCTTAATGGTTAGGGATGGGAATCATTTTCTCCCCGCGCGGTAGCGCGTTCTTGGTTAGGTTAGGAGGTTAGGGTGCTCGCAGATGCGCTATGTGCATCTGCGAGCGCGACTTAGGGCAATGGCACATTGCCCTAAGTCGTGAGATTGCCATATACGGCAGAGATTACCATATACGGAAGGTGAACACATCACGTGTGTCTGAGTGGGGGAGACGTAGGACACTTGCTCGAGCATGCGCATCTGCCTTCGACGGGTCGATTTCCCCGCCATATTCGCTTCATCCAAAAGTTGGCGTGCGTAATGATATCGGAGCGCTCCAAGTACCGTGAAACAGGAACGCTTGACGCTTTGGGTGCCGCCAGGGTTGAAAAGGAAGTGCGCGACCTCAGCCGCTCAAGGAGTACTTAACTTTATTGCCAGGGGTTTGAGAGGGTGGGAGATGATATTTATAAGAAGGGACTTCCACCAATGCCTTTCATCAGCTTCCCCCCCCCCCAGAAATGGGGTCTGATCATGAAATTACCTTTTAATATCCCTGAGCGAAGCTGCCCCCATCTCCTTGCTCCAACCTCAACGTGATGCGATGGTGAGAGATCTTTTGTGCACGTCCTCTAGTTTGCGTAATTGATGAGAATGTGAGATAGCGAGTTTTCGACCGAGGTGGAGGAACGGGCTAAGTCAACGGATGTTAGTGTTCTTCGCAGGAATCTCGAGTCATCTCCAGGTTTGAAAGGCAATAAGTTGACTTCTCGGTGGGCCAAATTAGCTGCAAAGAAGCGAAGGCAGCGTCTCCGATCTCGAGCTTCAACATCGCCAATAACAAGCCAATAATGTCGGTTTGCATACCCGATGAGTCAGCTGGTTAGTAATTGCCAGTGATCTATGTCAAAGGCTAAAGATAGTTGCAGCAACAACCCTTTGGCCGAGCGTGTTTAATGAAGCCTTTGTGATCCCGTACGCTCAGCGCTTGGAGAATAAACACATAAAAACCGTACGATTCCGTGTTGGCTTTTGGGCTGCGCATGTCCTTATTTTATTTTGCAATAATCCCAAGATAATCCGATCTCGGAGTTGGCCTCCCGAGTCCCTAGTAATGCAATGAGTAGAAACAATCCATGAATTTGGGGTACAGTCTTCTTGGGTTATCGTACTATTGAAGCAGTGTACTAAGGAGCAATGTATAAATATTAAAATGAGCTCTGAGAATGTGATCCAAGGTTGAACGTTGAGAGCCCATGGATACTCACTCGTCCAGGAATCCAACCATCGGAGTAGCATTGTCACTGGTCAGTACAAACAACACTTTTCTTTACCAGGGCCTTGGTTGCAACATCACAAAGATTATCTGCAGTCGCTCTAATCAGTGATTCCAATACTAAGTTTCAAACGCCGCGGCTTTTGCAATCACTATAACGAGAGGCAGGGCCACAGGATGGCCGTAATATCTGAATTCATTTCCGGATGAACGGAAGTTGTCAGCAGCAAAGAACAGAATATTTCCTGTGAATGAAGAATCTGAAGGTCTTGATTTTTCGATAGCCTTCCATAATTGTTTTTATTCACGGACCAGTGGAATGAACCTCAACATCCATGTTTGCCTTATTAGTCTCCACCTCCGTCATTGCTCTATTAAGGAACACATTGACTTGGGCGCTTCACTGCCATCATGGCGACCCTATTGCTTCTTCCCCGCACTAATTCCTCTATCTCGACATCACCGTCCCCACCCGACGCGCCAACTTCTCAACCCCTCCTTTCAACATCAGCAGTATTTGCGTGTCATAATCCATCGGTGAGATTTCATTATTGTGGCTTTCTCTCCGGTGGGTGTGTGCGGTTCAAAGAACCTTTGCGGAGCCCCACCTTATGTTGGCTTGCCATGAGAGTCATAGGGAAGTGGAGGGTAGTTGTATTCTATGCTCCTGAAAATGCCACACCCTTCCCAAAAATTCACTTTGGCTTTCGCCAGGTCTGGCCACCCTTTCTAAGAATTTTCATTTCACTGCCAACGTCACTCTTCTGTGAAAGGGAGGAATCAGCACGACATCTATCACATCTATCTGTCAACAGCCTTCGCGAAATTTTTGACATTGTCGTCACGACATTCAATCAGGTTTCATACGGATTGATAAACATGAATGAGTGGTGTCATGATTATAACGGACTACAGCGGTGTTCGGTACCACAGTTCTTATCTGCGCTTTTAAACTTCATTGGAAATGTCTTGAAGATCACGGAAGTTTCTGCGTCGAGATTTTTGACGCGCGTTGGGCTTATGGATGTCTGAAGCCTATTTCATTGCCGGCTCCGTCAAGTGTTAAAAATGTAAGGTCGCGTGAGCGAAAAGGGGCCCTAGGTCATTGCAAATAGATGATAACTGGCTACATAAATACATAGTCTAATTTAACATAATCTTCGCCGTCGTCACAATGAAGCGCATGATGGCGTCCTACTACTACGGCCCGGGAATAATGAAGGAGTAACTACGGAACTATGCAAACATTCTTCCCGCGAAGGTAGAATTCCAGCCTATCATCAAACTTCAAGATTCGATCTTGGCTTAATGTTTGCCGCTACCGGGCCCATTAAGTATCGGACCTGTAAAATTTTTCAGACTTGAGATAAGCGCGAGTTGAGGACTTTCTCAGAGCGTAAAAAAACCTCAAAAAGCGCTTGACATGCTGGTACCAACCCACCCACACCATTGAAGCAGCAGATGTCTCCCTCAACATGTAATGACAAGAACGACTCGCGGTTATTTAAATCAGGACTCCCTAGAAAATTTGTTATTTTGGATGAGGAACAGTGAGAGCAATTTAGTCGAACTGCTTGAATCACATTTCAATCCTTGACGAGTTACATGCACAGCATCTGGCCCAACTTTCAATGCCCCCTCCGCAAGGGCATAATTTACTATATCCGACACAATTTGATTATTGAGCATCACCTTTATTCTTCTGGCACGCACAACGTTCGTCTGCAAACCCCTCATACAGATGTAATGACCGATACACTTTCTACTAGGTGCGGGTTGTTGCAAACCTTGAACGATCGTCGACGGGGGTCGGTGTTGAGCTCGTTCCAATCAAAGACAATTGCCAAATACTCCTCATGGCGAAGTATTTCGCAGAGAGATATCAAGATGACGACAATACTGGTACCCCGCTCTATCTATACCTATCAATCCACGAAATTCGCTCTTACCGGCTTGGTCCTGCTTTATGGACTTATAATGATCGGGGTCACTGGGATATCAATCACTTGCAGTTGATGACCTCGCATACGAATACTTTGGGAATAACATTCGGAGTGGATCATAAAACTCATATGAAGTTGTTCGACATCTCAACCGAAGCAGACTACCCGTTAATCGAGGCTGGGACATTGAATTATAACCGTTATCTCGACCATTTAGGTTTGTCGCATCTTTTCGTGTAATGGCCTATTTGCCCAACGGCACTTGAAGTTGGATTGTCTCCCGACAGGTGCATTCTCCTCAGTGTGGACAAGAATATTAAAATGATCGACGTTTTGTCCACCAACCCAAGCGAAACAAACAACATGGATTTTTCTTTCGTTAGCCGCATGTCAATGCCCTCGAATCCCGACAAATCCAACCGTCAAGAGGCGATCAAATCACTCGGGGGGCCATTACATGCATTTTCTGCAGATGGGTACAAGTTCGCTATAGCTACCGCCGATGGTGTAGTGTCAGTCTGGGATGTCCGAAGGAAAGTTCCGCTGGGTGTATTTATGGCGGATGCTTCAAGGCATGACGACTGGTCCATATTCATTCTTCAATTTCACAGTGGAATGTCAGGGAAGGAAGTTTTGGTGTTCGTGGAGGTAAGTTGACACTTTGCACTCTCATTCCTACTGTTTAAATGAATGATTTTCAGAATGACATTTCTGGTCATAAAATAATTCACTTAGTCGACGCAACATCCTTTGAGATGGAAGAAACTCTCTACTTGCCCGAAACTGACAGAGACAATAGATGGAGTCGGGCAAGCACTTTATTCTTCGATCCGTGCGGAAGAAGTATGTATGCCTCGGTGGAAGGGATCCTGTTTGAATGGGACTTCCAGAAAAGTATGGGGTTAGAGTGGTGGCTTGGGGAGGAGTAGGTTCGACGACGATACTGGAGGTATTCGAGTTCACACCATTTTTAGTTCATCACAATAATCTTCAACAACCTTGAGAGAGAGCGTCAACATTGACGTTGACTTATCTGACGATTGAGCGGCCAGTCGGAGAAACAACTCAGCGCGTCAAAGGAAACGAGAAATCGTCAATCTCATAAGCCCTGCATGAATAATTCAGATAGCCCCAGGCACGCAGGCCTTGTGCAGCGAGCGCTCGCGTCGGCATGGGAGCTTGGGCTTAGTCATACTGCATTAAACAAGTTGAGTTTACTCCGATAGGAAGGCTGTTGCGGAGAACGTGGAGACATTTGTCGCAGAAGGTGGTATCGGTGAGCACGATGGGAGGACGACAGGGCCGATAGATGAGGGGGCGAAATTCTATGCGGTGTGTGTGTGCATCCCTACGCCATAACACAGAGAGTGCATACCATAGGCCTGATGCATGATATTCCAAGTTTGATCCTAGTCAGCGGAAATTTGAGAACTGAAATTTGCGTCAAATCTCCGACTTTGAAGGAATTCGTTTCTTGCGCAAAGCAAGGTGGCTAAATGGTGATGAATTAGGGCTTGATGAATTAGACTGAAGACGGTGGTAAGAGGGTGGTTATACATACCTGGGTTAGGTATAGTTGACCGCCGAGTGTCCCACTCGCACTCTGAGTCGTAGGCGAAAATACAACAGCCACATTCCTCTTCGATCCAGGTCTGGGTGTGGGTGAGGGGCAATTTGACGAAGTCGAGGTAGCTGGGGTGGGGTACGCCTGTCCCCGTTTAACAACCTCGTAAGCCTCCTCCTCCATATCCATGCCCCCTCCCACCCCTCCAAACCGATGATGCTCCCTCCACTCCCTCAAATTCTTCACACAATCTTCTCATGCGCTGGAAAACCTTTATCGTAATTAACTTCTCGCTCCTGTTCCTCGTCAGGTCCCTCGCGCCGTTCGCGGACACATTGACGAGATCATCCTACGTCCTGAATATCCCCCGAGCCGTCGTTTGTGCGAGGAGACGTTCAAAGGTGGGGTAAGGTGGGTGCCAGCCGGTGGGATTCGTGTACTTTGTCGAGGTCGGTGGAGGAGAGGAGGTCGTTGAGCGGAAAGTCTTTCATTAGTAGTTGGTTGTAACTTGTGGACTGCCATTATCCATCAGCTTCGTTCATTCCAAATAAAAAGAACAGGAGACCCACGGATTCTTCAAGCCGATCAAGTCGCATAGAACATCAATGCATCCATAACCATCCCCACCTCCTCGCTCCTCAACTGCACCTCTAACCCCTCCAATGCGCTATCGACAGTTAGGGCAGTCAAATGGGTCCATCACTGATGGGCCAGCGGCGTGTGACAGGCGCCCATCAACAGCGGGCCAGCGGACTCGGCCGAGCTGTCAAAAATTCGGCCTTGGCAATGACTGGGCCGAGACTCTAAAATAGGCCATGCGAGATGGGTGGGCCGCGAGTACAGAGCCCCATAGAGGACGGATCGGCCGACTTTACCCCTGGCGCCCATGGGTTGCGCCCAATTGCGCGGATCCCATTGTTGCGCCCATTCGTCTTTGATGCAGTTAACCAGAGTGCTGCCTCGTTAGTTTCACTGTGGGGGACCACGTAGGAGAAAGTTAAATAGATATATTATTTACCTGTTGTGGGTTGCGCCCAATTGCGCGGATCCCATTGTTGCGCCCATTGGTCTTTGATGCAGTTAACCAGAGTGCTGCCTCGTTAGTATCACTGTGGGGGACCATGTAGGAGAAAGTTAAATATTTACCTGTTGTACATCTGGCGCCCATGGGTTGCGCCCAATTGCGTGGATCCCATTGTTGCGCCCATTTGTCTTGGATGCAGTTAACCAGAGTGCTGCCTCGTTAGTATAACTGTGGGGGACCACGTAGGAGAAAGTTAAATAGATATACTATTTACCTGTTGTACATCTGTGTTGGTGGCAGCCTCGTTGCGCCTGCAGGCAACCACATTTTTCTTCGCCAACCAGCCAATATTCCCCACCCATTTTCCCCAGTCTTGCTGCGATGCTGCAAGACTTGAGTAGTTTCAAGCTCACTCAAGAAATAGCTGACTTTCTCAAAGCTAAATTCCAGGCTACCCTCCATGGAACAGCACAAAAAACACCCTTTCCCCTGCACTGGACACTGGACCTGTTGGATGACTGCAATGGGATAGTTGTTGTTTTGGTTGAGGCTTTCAAACACCCAAGTGCGCCACGCCTGCTCACATAGTAATTGGTTGATTGATCTCTTCAAGTCCGCACAACATGGGATGCCACGAGGTATTGCGATACCATCGGCGCCGCCCTGACCGGACAAAATCGTAAAACAGAAGAGAAAATCTTGAATAGGTACCCGCCCATCTATTCACCTATTGTCCATAAAAGTTCGCCTTTTGTGGTAACGGATATGCATAACAATGGGCTGGTTTGGTATTTGCCTGACATCCTTTCAGGAGCACGCCAGGTATGTGACTATGGCCGCTGGGTGTACAATCTCAAACCCTGTTCAGTTGCAGATCTGGAAGTTCCTCAAAATTCTTGAATCAGCTTTGACGATAGACGACAAGGCTACTACTAACTGGAGGAATCATAAAATGCACTACAGGCCTGCAGAGCAATGTCAACAACTCAAGCCCGGGACCGTGAGTTTATCGCCAGCATGGTTCCAGCAAGGGCATGAGGTGTGAAATCTCTTTGGATCCATAAACAAAGTCTGAACGATCTGCAGTCTTCCGAGTTCAAGCTTGAAGTCAGCGCGCAAATGAAGCGTGGCGCCGTTGGGGCGCAGTGGAGCCTGGAAATGCAAGAGTCATCTGCTTTGATTGGCGCCATCCTGAGTATCATACATCCACAACTTTATGAGCAGGGAATGGAGGCACTCCGCCGCCTCGAGACAGAAAATGGGTTTGTGGATGATGAGGAAGAATTGTACACGGCGCTGAAGCATTGACTC